AATTGGACGGCACACCGACGACTTTGCGTAGAAGACTGTTATTTGTATGGTAAACGGCCACTGGGCAAACTATGGCTTCAAGCTATTGCTTTCCAACACAGGCTGAATAGCTCTGTATTGTTGGTGTTGGGTAGAGTGCTGAGTAAAGTGTTCTGAAAGGTAGCAATCAGTCTACACGTACAGAGACGATGACGGCAAGCAAACCGCGGTGACCACCGTGTCGCGAGGTGGAGCGACAATCTTGCACATGCGTACCGTTACGGAAAACTAGCACCAGGTCTAGTACCTGTGCAGGGACGTTCGCCCCGTCGGATGCACAGGTACACCTCAGAGGTATGAGACTTTGTACAAGCCCTATGATTGGTTAAAATGTATCTGGCAGTATCCAATCCAAATGGGACCTGGTGTTAGCCAATGGCCTTTCAGACGACGGCACGAGCGGTGCAGCATGAATCGGTACGCGATCGGCGCCAAGCTTGGCGAGGGTACGTACGGTAACGTATATGCGGCCGTGCACAAGGTGTCGGGTGCCCATGTGGCCATCAAGGAGTTCAAGCGCGGCAAGTTCAAGGACGGCGTCAACTTCACGGCCGTACGCGAAGTCAAGCTCCAGACTGAGCTGCGCCATCCCAACGTCACGCGGCTCCTCGATGCCTTCGTGCACAACGACACTGTCAACGTTGTTTTCGAGATCCTGCCCAAGAATCTCGACGACGTCATTAAGGACAAGAGCATCGTCCTCTCGCGCGGCGACGTCAAGGCCTACATGCAGATGCTCCTACGGGGCGTCGCCCACCTGCATGCGCACTGGATTCTTCACCGCGATCTCAAGCCAGAAAACTTGCTCATCGGTGGCGATGGTCAGATCAAGCTGGCCGATTTCGGTCTCGCGCGCATGTATGGGAGCCCGAACCGCAATATGACGTCCGAGGTCTGCACGATCTGGTACCGCCCACCCGAGCTGCTCTTTGGCGCACGCGAGTACAGTGGTGCGGTTGATGTGTGGGGAGTCGGCTGCATCTTTGCCGAGCTCTTGTTGCGAACACCGTTCCTCACCGGCATGACGGAGCTGGATCAGCTCGGTCGCATGTTTCATGCGCTCGGGACACCGACGGAAGAGTCGTGGCCGGGAATGACAGCGCTGCCCAACTACATCGAGTTCACGCCGAGTAAGGCGCCGCCGCTTGCGTCGCTTTTTACAGCCGCGTCCGAAGACGCGCTCGACCTCCTCCGGCAGCTCCTCCTCTTCAATCCCTCAGAGCGCATCACGGCCGCGGCCGCCCTCGAGCACGCGTACTTCAAGTCTGCGCCCGAACCCACGCAACCCGAGAAGCTTCCGTACTCGCAAGCCACTGCGTCCGATGCCTAATGCGCTTCAATACATGACGCATACCGCTATGCGACTTGTTTCTCTATTGCGTGGGTTGACATTTTGATGGTGCCTGAAGCTGCTTACAAGAGGCAACGCAGTACTCCTTGAAACTCGTTGATGTTTTTCGAAATCTTAAGCCCGCCGGTCGGTGCTGACGAGCGACGAAACGTAGCCGTTGAAATCGAGCTGCGCCATGAGCTCGCGAGCGTTGGTCTGGTTGAGAACGGTAAAGAGCAGGCGGCAGTGGTCGCGAAAGGTCGGAAGGAGGTCACTGGGGGCCTGCACGAAGCGCCCGACGGTCTCGAGCACCCGATCGAGCGCCGCCATGACGGCCGTTGCGTGCACAAAACACTTTTTCCCGACGCCAGCGACGAAGGTCGCATGGGCGCGCTGGACAACATCAAAGTCAGTTGTCGCCGAGATCGTCGCCAGCAGCGTCTCGAACGAGGCTTCGACGACTGACACGTGGAAGTAGAGAAGCAAGTGGTGCAACACAAACGTCATCTCATGACGCGTAAGGCAGTCACGGTGCACTCCCGCAACATTGAGGTGATTGAGCGTATAAAGTAGCCGCTTGAGACGGAAGAAGACGCGGAAGACGTCAGCGTAGCTCTTCAAAAGCGACGACGGAAAGAGCAGCTGTCGGTAGCGCAGTGACGGTGACGGCGTCAGCATAAGCGTCACATAGCGCCAAGGGTCGGCCACGGGGGCGGTCGCGAAGCTCCAGTGATGTACTTGCACAGCGGGGGCAAGACCGAGACCAAGAACGACCGGTGAGGCCTCCTTGCGCCGTGGAAGCGGGATCTCAAAAACTGGGCTCACATCACGCACACAGAGAAGCATACCGGGTTCGCCTCGAGTCGGGAGACATAGCGTGAATGCGACGTCGAGCGTCCAAATACCCGACATAGGAAGCTCGATGCTTTCTGCAGACCGAAACAGGGGCGTGCTGCCGACTTTCGAGTCGAGTACCCTCAGAGTCGCAGTAGACGTCGCCATTGACGCTTGAGTGACTGTCGTTGCCAGCACCACCTCGACAGCGAGTGTGGGTACCGCCCCTGACACTGCGAGTCCTGACGTCGGTGTCCAGCTCGGTGGTGCCACGTCGCTCGGAGCATCCGTGTCGGCAATGAGAACACTAAGGCCTTGAACGACCGAAGTCATTGGCGACGCAATCGAGAACGTCACTGAGATAGACGCGGCGCTACCCTGCACGTACTGGGCATGGGGCCAGTAGCCGATGCCGTACGTTGGACCCGAGCACTCAAGGCCGCCAGCGTCGCTCGTCACACCCTCCGAAACAAGTCCCGAGAACGTCCGCGTGTCAAAGTTCTGCACGGGTACCTTGAGCGCGATGAAGTACTTGTCTGCGTCGTCGTCGTCGTCCGTGCGCATTGACGTGTCGTACTGCCGGAGAAGCGGGGCCCACAAGCCGTGGTGCAGGTCAGTCTCGGACCGAGCGTGCGGCGGCGTGCGCATGATCGGGTCCATCGCTTCGAGCAGCGCGTTGAAGAGCGCGCCGTCGCCACACAGAAAGAACGCCTTCATGCGGTACAGTGCGGGCACAAACTTGGCCGAAGAGAGTACATGCATGTAGAGCTCGCTCGCGACCTTGGCCCGCAGCGCGCTAACGCTAGACGCGAATGCGAACGAGTCCCATACATCGGGCGGCGTCTGCAGAAGGTGCGCGATATCGGCCTGAAGGGCCAGCGCTGAAACCAAGGAGGTCTCCCGTACAGTGCGCATCGCGTTGCCAACAAAGAGGACATCTTCGCAGACGGTGGCTGGCCAGTAGCGTAGCGGCGCGCGGGCCAGCGCGAGCGCAAAGCTGCTAGCGTCAGCCACGATGAAGAACTCTTCGTACGGATCCACAAGGTTCGAGCCGGAGACCATCCAGGCGAGCATTTGGCGAAAGAGCACACGGTGCAAAGCGGTGAGGAGGCGCCGAGCCACTTGCTGAAGGCTCGGGATACCTTGCGTTTCATGTGCCTTGATAAGCTCGAGGACGTCTTTGCCCCGCAGCGTTCGGACTTGCTGAATAAGGCGCAAGAGAAACGGGAATGTGTCGAGTTCGGTCGCGAGCTCGACTTGCAAGTACGCAAGCGGCAATGTTCGCGTGCTTGCCTTGGAGAGAACGACAGCCTCGAGCTCAGCGATATGGCGCTCGTACTCGCGGAGGACCGTACCAATCGCGTGCTGCAGCGCGTGCCGATACAAGCTGTGGCTGGCCGCGACCGCGGGCACCGGTGCGAGTGGCGCCGCGAAGGCTGCGATGTGCTTGTACGCGTGACCCACACGTAGCACCTGGAGCAATATCGCGCGGTCCGCGACCGAGAGCAGCGAAGGACAGTAGTTGGCGTCGATGAGGAAGCTTTCGCCGGACGGTTCCTCAACGACGACCTCGCCCGTGACGCCGATGAGCGCGAGGAACACCTCGTGGTGCATCTTGGATTCGGCGAAATTTGTTTTAGTGGGCCCGGGTGGGGGTCCCTCCAAAATGGCGTTTTTCATTCGGACGATCGAGAATTACCGGTGCAGCCGTCTCTGAGGTCTGTTTTTCGCCCTTTATGAGCCTTCAATAAACAAGGCGTAGGGAAAGGTTGGACAGTTTAGTACATTGCAAGTCTAGTTTGTCAGACGATTTCGCTGGGCGGGCGGGCGTTGGGCCGCGCCGGTGCATTCCCAAAGGCCATGCCACCAAGTGTCGAGAGGATCGTTGAGCCGGTAGATGACTGCAACGCTTCCAGTGCACCTGAGGCCATCATCGATTTCATCTTGTTCTTGGCATCTGCGCTTGCTGTGTCAGAGATAAATCCAAGGCACATGAGGGACAGTACCCTTGCTGCATTTGGTGTAGCCGACAATGTTGGCCGCCGAGAGCATGAGTGCCACGATTGCAATAAGCGCCCACTCGAGGTTGAACTTGAGCACTGCGATGAGTAGGAAAAGCACCCAGACGCCGGGTGCGCCGTAGAGGCCAGTCCAAAAGACCTTGGCGTCGAGCGGGTCCAGTTCCGTCATGTCCTCGTGCGACTCGAAGATCCACTCACTCGTACCGTCTTCGTTGACGCGGTTCCACCAGCGAAGACCCACAAGGAGGCGACCCGAGACGTTCTACGCACAAGCTCCAAGATCACCCCATGGCATGCATCGTACCTTGACAGTCCAAAAGTCAAACGCCAGCAGCAGGATGCAGATGACGAAGACAAAGACAAAGCTGTTGGAGAAGATGCCACCAAAGAGATAGGCGAGCAGCGCAAGCGCCTTAAAGAGCACGTGGAACACGGCGGCGACAGGGTGCTTGGCCTGACGCACGCTTGCCGTGACGCTGCCAAGCCTAGGTCAAAGTTGACGCGAGTGCGACCGAGAGAATCCTTACAGCGTGGCAGAGGCCTGGGGAGACGCTGGCGCCGACGACGACGCGGTGGTTGCGCGGGACCGGGGCGATGACACCGTCGGCTCGTCCACCTCGATGAACTCGAGCGCCTTGCTCTTCTCGCCACTGCTCATGCTGGAAAATGTTCAGCTTCCGGATACCGTGGACGGAATTTAACGTTTTTCGAAAAACGCATCTCGGCACGCGTTTTAATTTGACGTGCCACAGTTGTTGCCGCGAGAGGGTAGGAGTCGCACCTCGTACAAGTCTAACAACGTCCATGCTTCGTGAAGGAAATGCAGAATATTAGACCGGCAAAGCAGAGAAGCGGTCTATAGCATAGGTTTGGCGTGGAGGCTCGTTTTGTCGTTTTGAGACCATCGTCCCGGATAATCCATGCAGAAGCTTCGAAGATTTTGATATTATCAAAATTTTCGAGCTCTCACCAGAGAAAATATGCCTTCTCTCGCACGTTGATACGCGAACGTTTTATACTATTTCAGCAACGATTCGACCCCAACTCGGTTCATCCCGATTCGCGTTTTTTTACTTTAACGCACAAGTCTTCACGACGTCAAATTGTCATTAATATGCTTTTAACGGACAGTACTCTGGGCTGCACAGTGGCCTGCACGTTTTAGCGGACAGGGAGCCGTCAAATTCTCTTTCATGGATTTTTATTTTCCTCTCCAGGAATATAATGACTGGATATTGGTATGTATTATTTTGAATCGAGCATAAGCGACGCGTGAACAGAATTCAGCGGCTGCTTGTCCGCTAAAATGCTTGGCCAATCACAGGCCGAAGAAAATGAGAAAAGCGCAGAGTTTTGGCGAATGGGCGCAGAGAACAATGACCGCAGGCGGCGGGCTGCGCACATGAGTGAGCGCCGACAGCGGACAGCTACAGCGGACGTACCGGTATTCGACTGCTAGAACTTTACGGTTGAGGGCGCCCACCACATGTGCACTGCAATGCCGTCCGTAAGAAGCTCGAGAGCAACCTCAGCGAGATCAAGAAGCACTAGTACTGCGCGAGGTCAACATTGGGTGCGCTGTGTTAATGAGCCGTCCTCGTTAAAGGAAGCCACGGACGGATGGACACGAAGCGCGCGTCTTCAATTAAGAATGTTTCCTTGCGTTTATTAGGATGTTATAGCGTCGACGCTCAGTGGTTACCGCGTCAACGCAGTGCGCTCGCGAGTTTCAACTGGGATCGTAAATTGCCCTGTCATCTCGGCTACGGTGATGGCATCAAGGAGGTGTACTAGCACACAGGTACACACACTTTCGAGCTCCTAATGAAAAGGATGATGTAGCGTGCGTCGGCATTCGGCGCTTGCTTGCCACGCAAGTCCAATCCTCGAGCAAGGTCCCCGTTTACCTTTGACGAGTACGAGAGCCTCGGCCGAGACAACCTCGCGCGCCTCTTCTTGACCATGTAGTGGGCCTTATGTGTCGATCCAAGTCGACGGAGACGGGATGCTTGGAACACCACTCGAGCGTAGGCGACTCTACGATAGCGAGCTGCCTCAATACTCCGCAACCATATTGCCACGTCACGGAGACTTTTTGGCCAATCAGATACCAGGGAATTTTAACGGGTGGCCTGTCCGTCAAATTCCGATCACAATTCACTTTCATTTCGCTGTCGGAAGGATGTCTCATGGGGCGCTATGGCCGTTGCCGCCGACGTACGACGAGGCGATAGCCGTAGAAGCATGACGGCGCCATGGCCTATCTCTCA